CAGTGGCGCCATCTTGGCTTACTGCAAACTCTGCCTCCTGGGTACAGCCTGTCTCAGCCTCCCAAGTAGCTGTGACTACAGCTGCCCACCAACATGCCTGGCTAATTTTTTGTATTTTAGTACAGATGGAGTTTCACCATGTTGACCAGGATGGTCTCAATCTCCTGACCTCATGATCCACCTGCCTCAGCCTCCCAAAGTGCTGGGATTACAGGCGTGAGCCACCACACCCGGCCACAACACTTTATTTTATGTAGTTACTGGTCTCATCTGAACTAGATTATGAGTGCTTGGGGGCAGGAATGATGTCAAATTCATCTACCTTCAGTATCATTAGATGGACATTAAGAAAATGCAGTTTAAATGTATGACTAGCAGAAGAAATTTGTGAAGCTTATTCAGTTTCGGAGGTCAGTGGAGTTTTATCCCCTTTTGGGACCTGCTGAGGAGGACTTTCAGGAGAACCCACAGACAGGCCTAGCTTTGACTCCTGGCTTTGGCATCTACTATCTATGTGCCCTTGGGCAAGGCATGCCACCTTTCTGGAGCTTAGTTTCCTCATTCATAAAGTGAGAGATAGATTACCAACTCTAGGGCTGTCCTGGGGATAAATATTGAGTTGACACATGTGAAGTACTTACTACCATATCTGATATATAATTGAGGATGCATAATTATCTACTGTATTTTTTCCCATAAGTTTCCTTGTTCAGCATTTTTTTTTTTTTTTAGTGACTTGGGGACAGCAGCCTCTGTGGACTGGAAAATTTCAAAACTCTCTCTGGATCCCTTGTAGGATAATAGCCTCTCTCATAATCATAATAATTTCCTTGGTGAAATTCCCAAATAACCACCATTGGTTTTGTCTTTTACTATGGTTCCTTAGTTCAGAGAAGCCTGAGAATGATTGATCTGGTGAAAGTATGCATTTATACATTTAAATAAATAGAATACAGCACACTATGAGGACCGCAGTCATTTGGACATCCACTGTTTTCCGGGACTGGTGGGCAGAGAGCTAAAAGCAATGCAATTCCTATCCCCAAGGAACTTACAGTTTAATGGAGAACATGATGTAGAAATAAGACTGCAAAGGGTTCACTTTGACTGAAGGCTCCAGCTACCTGAGCAGTGGGTCGCCATGTAGGAAGGTCGCTTATGCTGGGCCACCACTCTCAAATTGGAATTTGTTGGAATTTGTTGGGTGCAGTTGGTTTTTGTTGACTAAGGTCAAGTTGAATGGGGTTGTACCGTGTTGGTGGTGAGGTTGGGCTAAGCTGGGTTATGCAGGTTTATCTCAGTTGAATGGATGTGAATTGAGTCGGGTTAAGCAGAGGGTAGAGGCCTTTTCTTGCTCTGACTCAGTTTCTTCAACTGTCGAACGGGAATCGTGGGGTATAGAAGGCATCCTCTTTGTTGGTGGCTGTGGAGATTCGGTGAGAGCGATCAGTTCTTAAAGCGATTGTCTGCCTTGAGTCGTGAAGAGTACGTTTGTTGGAATCCACGTTCCATGATGAGAAATCCGCATTCCATCCTCTGCACTACTGGACAGGCCCTCGTGGCTCTCAGGCACACAAATGGCCCCGTGTGAACAGTTTGGCCACCACCATCTCTCTGAGTGCCAGATTGCCGGCGGCAGGAGTTGCGGCTGACCCTAAGTCCTTAGACTGGGGCTCACGTCAAAGTCACATTTGCTGTACCGGGCCTGCCAGGACAGCTGTTTCCAAAGTCAACTGCATTCCCTGCCGAGAAGCCAGGGTTGAATTCTTCATCACGGCCTGGCTTTGGGTTAGGCGTTATAAATAATGCCGTGCTGACAGCCAGGTGGACCGCATAGCTAACTGGATGACGTTTCATCTGTCCTGACAGGGACAGCCCTGCAAATAGAATCTGAGTGGCGGCAGGCCCCTCAGAGTCATCGTGCCCTTCCACTGAGTCTGGTGGGACCCTCTTCAGCTCATCTCAGGCTGGGAGATGCCTGCCTTTTTTTGTTTGTTTGTTTCTTATACGTCTCCATGGAGAAAGGGAAACTCTCCCCAGGACACTATATTTTTCTTTTGGCAGTGGTTAGTGCAGGGTTAAAACATTCTGGAGTTGGATCTGTGTTCAAATCTAGATTGAGCCACTCACAAGCTGTGTGACCTTGGGCAAGTTACCAAACCTCTCTGAGCCTCAGTTCCCTTACCGTTAAGATAAAAGAGGAGAATGGTGACCAGATCCAAGAGTTGATGTGGGTTTTGGATGGAATAAGGATCACAGGATCAAATGCTCTGAGAATGGGAGGTGTGATTTTGGGGGGGGGACACCAGGTCATTAAGGACAATTGGTCTGTCACCTCCCTCGGTGTGCATGGGAATGGTGAGAGTTGCTCATCACTCAGGACAGGTATAACTCTGTCTGATTCCAGGGCTAGATAAGACCCTCTCCGAAGGACCACTCCAGAGCCACTGTCCTCGTCTACCAGGCCCTACTCAGGAGCCAGAGTAGCACAATGGGAGGACACAGGACTGAGGACCAGGGTTCGATTCCTGGCTGGGTGACCTTAGTACATCAAGTGCTTTCTGTGGGCCGTAGCTGACGGGGAAAGCCCTGGATAGAGCTTTAAAAAAACAGCCCTGGGCCGGGCGCGGTGGCTCAAGCCTGTAATCCCAGCACTTTGGGAGGCCGAGGCGGATGGATCATGAGGTCAAGAGATCGAGACCATCCTGGTCAACAAGGTGAAACCCCGTCTCTACTAAAAACACAAAAAATTAGCTGGGCATGGTGGCACGTGCCTGTGATCCCAGCTACTCAGGAGGCTGAGGCAGGAGAATTGCCTGAACCCGGGAGGCGGAGGTTGCAGTGAGCTGAGATCGTGCCATTGCACTCCAGTCTGGGTAACGAGCGAAACTCTGCCTCAAAAAAAAAAAAAAAAAAAAAAAAAACAGCCCTGTTTGTGGTTTTTAAAACCACCCTGTAGGGAACAGAAGTGCCTCAGATGCGGCTGCGCTCGCCCCCATGCCCAGCCTCCATTAAAAATAGATTTGTGGCCGAACCCAGTGGCTCATGGCTGCCATCTCAGCACTTTGGGAGACTGAGATGAAAGGGTTGCTTGAGGCCACATTTCTAGGTCAGCTTGGGCAATGTAGTGAGACCCCATCTCTACAAAAAATATTTTAAAAATTAGCCAGGCATGGTGGAGCATGTCTGCAGACTCCTACTCAGAAGGCAGAAACGAGAGATCGCGTGGGCTCAGGAATGTGAGGCTGCCATGAGCTACGGTGTCACTCCACTACACTCCAGCCTGGGCAACAGAGCGAGACCTCATCTCTAAAACATTAAAAAGAAAAAATAAGCCGGGCGCAGTGGCTCAAGCCTGTAATCCCAGCACTTTGGGAGGCCGAGGCGGGTGGATCACGAGGTCAAGAGATCGAGACCATCCTGGTCAACATGGTGAAACCCCGTCTCTACTAAAAATACAAAAAATTAGCTGGGCATGGTGGTACGTGCCTGTAATCTCAGCTACTCAGGAGGCTGAGGCAGGAGAATTGCCTGAACCTGGGAGGCGGAGGTTGCAATGAACCGAGATCACGCCATTGCACTCCAGCCTGGGTAACAAGAGTGAAATTCCATGTCAAAAAAAAAAAAAAAAGAAAAGAAAAGAAAAGAAAGAAAAAATAGCTTTGTGCTCTAAGTAAGAAAAGCTTAACAAGCTACTGTTTCCAGCAGACTCTAGGTTCACTTGGAGAAAGTGAGGACTATATCCTACCTCCAACAGCATGGCTCTCAAAGGCACCCGAAAGTAAACATCCTCCCTGGCTCCCTGTTGCTTGTTGGAAGTCAGGCCTTTGCTGAGCACCCAAGGCTTCTCCAGCCTGACCTTCCCCCTCCAGCTCATTGCCACACTTTGGCATCAACTCCAGGCCGTTGTATGAGTGCTTTGACGTGGTCCAGCATTTCCTTTCGTTCACTGCAATTCCCTCTACCTTGAAGGCTGTTCTTCTGCTTCTCCATGGAGTCCCATTCTTTACTTATTCTTCTAGACCACATTGAAATATCCTCTGACATCAGAAGGTTTCTGTTTTGAGCCCTCTAGGGAGAGGTAAGCAATTATTCATGCTTTCCAGTGCCGCATTTGTAGAATGCTTACTATGTGCCAGACATTAGGGATAAAGAGTGAAGAAAAAGAGACAGAGTCTCTAACTTCATGGAGTTTATAGTCCTGTTGGAAACAGAGTTAGTCAAATACAGACACTATTGTGTATGTATTTAGAAATCTAGTGCCCCTAATGAAACAAGTTCCAACAGAATGCTTAACAAGGGATCTGACTAAATCGGTGTATTGGGAAAGGCTTCTCTAAAGAAGGGATGCTGAGGCTTCAGGTCGTTAGCCAGGTGAGTGGAGAGTAGGGAGGGCAGTGTGTGCAAAGGTTCTGTGGCAGGAATGGTGGTGTATGGTGACGGCTTATCTTGGTGTACCCCAGGCAGTCCCTCGGGTCCTGGCTTATGGATTAATAGCATTCCCTTTCTTTCTCCAAAGTGGCCTGGTTTGGAAGGTAAATTCTACGGTTGACTAACTGAATGAAAAAGAAGCCTGGAGTGTCAGGACTGCCGTGTGGGAGAGGGTTGGCAGGGACTGGACCACATGCTCAGTGAAGACTGGAGAAGGAGGTCGTGATCTCACCTGAGAACAATAAGATACCATTGAAGGGTTTCAGGCACAGTGTGCCAGGATCTTCTTTACTTTCTTTTCTTTTTTTTGAGACGGAGTCTTGCTCCGTCACCCAGGCGGGAGTGCAGTGGTGCAGTCTCAGCTCACTGCAACCCCCGCCTCCAGGCTTCAAGCGATTCTCTTGCCTCAGCCTCCTGAGTAGCTGGGATTACAGGTGCACGCCACCATGCAGGGCTAATTTTTGTATTTTTAGTAGAGACGGGATTTCACCATGTTGGTCAGGCTGGTCTCAAACTCCTGACCTTGTGATCTGCCCACTTCAGCCTCCCAAAGTGTTGGGATCACAGGCGTGAGCCACTGCACCCGGCCAGTCTTCTCTACTTTTCAAAACAGCATCTGCCTTCTCTGTTCTCCCTGTTTTGGGCGGCTGCTGCTCTCCTGAGGATCCACCCTGCATATTATGGGTTGTTGTTTTCCATAGTTCTTCTCTCCCCAGACTGTGAGCTTTGGAGGGGGCGGACAGAAGGAACCCCTCCTGGACGATGCTCCGTGTTCTTCTCCCTCCCACTTGCTGGATGTTGTGTAGGAACAAATTTATGGAGGATCTTCCATGGCGTCAATGATGGAGCTTCATTGGGTAGGTAGCATGAACAATAAACAAACTTCTATTATGTCTGAGCCATCGTAAATGACTTAGATATAGTGAAAAGGAAAATGCTAGCTACTGTGCATTGAGCTCATGGCCTATGTTAGGCTTGCATACTTGACACTCACTATTTCATTTAATCGGGAGACTATTTACTTCACGGATAAGAAAACAAAGATTCAGAGAGGTGACTTGCCCAAGGCGACACAGTGAATGAGCAGAGGAGCTGGGATTTAAACCCAGGAATGTCTGACTTCAAGCCAAAGCTCTTAAAACAGCAACCGTGAAATGAGCAGCCCCCAATTTCTCCATCTGCGGCAGCAGCGGGAATCTCCCCACCCTGTGGATCCAGGGATGAGGCTGACCATTGTCCTGCTAGGCAGAGCTTGACCAGAGCAGAGGCGGGGGTAGGGGAGGTGTGTGGGAGAGACAGGGGCGACCCGCACCTGCAGCTGTAGCCTCTGATCCCATGTCTACGTCAAGTACCCAGCTCAGACAGGGGATGGTGGTATTTCTTTCACCCGCGTGCAGTTTGGCAGGTTCCTCAAAGAGAAATGCTCTTAGATTCATTTAAAAGTCTAAGCAGGGACAGCACAAATTATTAGTGTTTGAAATATTTATAAAGTCTCTTGTTTGCCATGGCATAGGAGGTGATAGACCACAAATAAAAGAAAACCGCAGATGCACCGTGCATGGAGAGAGACGGAGAGGAACGCTGTCTGCCTGCCGCCGCCGCCTCATGTTTGAAGGCTGCTAAGCCCGGTGAATTTCCATTCTGCGTTTTCTCAAACTGACTTCCTTTATACAGCTCCGTTCACCTCTCCCTCCTTAAGACAATCACCAGATACTTAAGCGGAGGATTCCAACCCCACAAACCAAGAACATCAGGGCAAGCTGGGGTAAAGACAGAAGAGAAGAATGTTTGTTTTTTGAGAAAGAGTTTCATTCCTGTCACCCAGGCGGGAGTGCAATGGCATGATCATGGCTCACTGCAACCTCTGCCTCCTGGGCTTAAGCAATTCTCCTGCCTCAGCCTCCCAAGTAGTGGCAACAACAGGTACACGCCACCATGGCTGGCTAACTTTTCTATGTTTATAGAGACAGGGTTTCGCTATGTTGCCCAGGCTGGTCTTGAACTCTTGGGCTCAAGCGATCTGCCCACCTCAGCCTCCCAAAGTGCTGGGATTACTGGTGTGAGTCACCACACTCGGCCAGGAACACTGTTTTAAAATTTTTTCTGGGAGTGTAAAATGATATCAAAATTTAAAATTAAAAAAAATCACACAACATAAACTTATATAGCGTTTAAGTTTATGGGAAAAAGCACCATGGAGAAAAATAAATGTGCTTTTCTGATTTGACAGATGGAAAAACCAAAGTCACCCAGTGAGTCAAGGATGAAAACCGAGGTCGTCTGTCTGACTTCCAGCCCGGAGATCTGTCCCTTTTTGCTGATCTTTGACCACCGAAATGTATGTGCTAATAATTTAGAAAGAAGTGCTTAGGTCCTGATTTGGGAATAACATAGCTTGAATTTATTCATTGATGTGTGTATATACATACATCTGCTATACATGTATATGCATTTATTCACTCAGATCAATGAATGAATGAATGAACTCATTTGTTCATTCATTTGCTAACTCAACAAATACTGTACTATGTGCAGGAGACGCAGCAGTGAGCAAGAGAGATTTGGCCCTGCCCTTCCTGAGCTAGTAAAAGACACGGTTTCAGGTGACGTCTCATGCTTCCAGTTGATCCCAGGAGGAGCTCTGGAGTGTGAGTTGCACCCCAGAGTTGTTCTGCCTTGGGGTAAAGGGGCTGGCCTTTTGTACCCTTGTAATAGTCAATTATTGGCTGCATGACACCAATGTAGCCAATTGGTGTAGAGGGGAGGGTGTACCCTCTGCAGGATTTCCGGGTAAGGCAGCTCCAGTCCGCAGAGGGCAGGGTTGGCTGTGAGGTGCTGCTGTCTCAGCAGCCAACATTCACCACAGCCAGTGCTGGACTTTTCAATGCCCATTACTAGTTTAATGTACATTTAATGTACATCCAAGGGGGTTGGATGCATTGATCTTTCAGAGGGGATCTGAGTGAGGCAGGAATGGCATCTACTACATCAGAAACGGAGCTTTATCCTACTGGGAAAGTGAGGGAGGCAGTCCAGAATTCATACTTCTATGTGATCTCAATTTGAGGGATGAGGGAGCTGGGCTATTTACCCACTGACTCCTGGCAGCACTTACCAAAGGCGGCCCCCAGGGGAGGTTAATTCTCAGCCTGGCCGGTGTGCAGCCACAGAGAGCTCCCTCAGCAGACAGAGTCACATGCTGGAAGGTAGAGGTTGGGCAGATGTGCTCAGATGTGGCCGTGCGGGATGCCAAGATCATCTGTTCCTGGTGGCCTGGACCAATCAGATGTATCCCTCAGAAATGTGGAATGAGGAAGCTGGTGGATGCTTGGAGTCTCAGGTCAGCTGAGGCACCAGAGCAAGGAAATTACAACTGTGGCTGGAGTGGTCATCATGACCTTTTGTGTGATGAAAATGTATGGGCATGAAGGTAAGGGGTCATCAGCATTGTTGGCCGGGACAGGCGGGGAGTAGGGATCTCTGGGCACAGAGATGCTGGGAAGTCACTCGGGCAAGGAGGTGGCTGGCTGGGGACCCCACTTAGCTTCTGATTGTTCTTTCATTTGTTCATTCATTCTACAGATACTTACTGAGGGACTATGACATGCTAAGCTTTGTGCTCAATGCAGGGAATGTGAAGGAGGAATGAACCAGACCGGGTCCTAGCTCTGTGGAGTTTATATTCTATGTGTATGTGGCAGGGAGGGGGGATAAGTAAATAAATGAACAAGATAATCAGAGATCACGTACATTTAGTCAAGGAAACCAGCAGGGTGCAGGGTGGAGAGTATCTGATGATGAGGGTACTTTTGACAGGTGATCAGAGGCAGATTCTGATCATCCCCACTTTACAGATGAGGAAACTGAGGCTTTAGAGGATAAGGAACTTGCTCAAGTGCATTCAGCTAGTAAGTGGCCCCCTCTGTAGATTCCATCTATCTCTCTGTAATACCTTCTGCTCTTGGCTCTGGGTTAATTCCTCGAGCCAACACAGTTTAGATCCCCTCTTTCTGCTTTCCCTGTCAGTGATTTTATGATTTGGAGACCGTGACACCGACCCTCCCGAATCCCTGCCTGGACCCTTCTGGGCATGCACTGGTCTGAGATGAGCTTGACTAACAGCTTTGGGGTCAGCCTCACGTTGCCACTGTCAGGGTCCAGGAGACTAGAATGGCTCTGGGGACAGGGAGACTCACCCCAGCCCACCACGCCTTCACCGTGGGACCTTGGGCGAATGACCTCACTTCTCCAAGTCCCAGTTTCTTCCTCTGTCACATGTCGACACCAATTGTCTCTACCTCCTGGAACTATCGTGAAGATTAAATGAGCTGATGCTTGTGTAAAATTTGGCGCCATGCCCAGGGCAGAGTAAACACTCACGTCAGGCTCGGTGGGGGCAACGGCTGCCCCCAGATATTCTGATCACCTGTCGGAGGGTCCGAAGGGGCCGTGGAAGGCAGGCACTCTCAGCCCTGGTCTTCAAGAGCCTCAGCCCCTGAGTGACCCTGAACCAGAGCCGAGGGGTGGAGAAGAGGCAATTTTCTGACTTTGGGTCAGGACTGCCAAAGCCAATTAGAGAAGTCACACGGGCCGCAGCCTCCAGCACCCAAGCAAACCGACGTGGCAGCCAGCGGAGGGGCCGGCTTGCTCTGACCTTAAACCCGAATGCTCCTGCCCACATCTGCAGCTAAATAAACCAAGTAAATCATGCTGGCAGATAGATAATTAAATAATTATCAGGCACTTAATAACAAGGAGTGGGTGTTCTGAATTACCATATTAGACAGTGTCTTTGAGGACTAATTGTTGCATTACATCAGAGTTACTCATTCATTATTCTTGTCATTTCGGGTGATAATTTGCACTTTAGGAGACAGCGACAATTTTAGCAGGCAATTAGAGACGTGTCAGGCCTGGCCCCGTGAGTTACTGTCACAATTATTGCCTTTTTTTCCCCGGGTCCTCATTGGCAGCCATGTATTTAAGGGGATTTGGGTAATTCCAGGCCTGGGCAAAACAACCAACCCACGGGATAGTGGCAGGGCAGGGAACACAGCAGCCGCCACCATGGGAGCGAGGAAGGGGTGGCGTCCCCGCTGCGGTGGTGGGAAGCCGGGGCCGGCAGGCAGCGCCGAGCGGGGCTGTCGGAGCCTCATCCAGTCGACGAGCGTTCCCCCTCCCAAGTAGCTGGTGACGCTGCCTGTTCCTCTCCCGGCTTCTTGTCACCCACTCAGCCAGGCTTCTGTGACTGCTTACCTGAACCTTTGCGCTGAGCTCTTCACAGGTCTTGGGGAGGCAGAAGGGAGGAGAGCAACAGGAAGGGAGAACCGAGAAGAGGAGAGGGGAAGGAAGAAACGAGAGGAAGGAAAAAAAGGTGTCGAAATCCTGTTTTTAACTTTCTGTCTTTGACGAGGCTTGGGAATGGTGGAGGCCTTGAGGATCCCGGGGAGGGAGTGGCCCCTCCCAGGATTAGGTAATTGCTAGAGATAGCAAACCCCTTCCCTTCTGAGGAAGCCTTTGATATGCAAAACAACCAATCCTGAGTCTATTTATCAACCTCGTACCTCCAGGACCCTATCCCTGTGCTCCAGATCACCCCAGGGCCAGGACCCAGACAGCTAGGGACCTCGCCTGCAGCCCAGAGTCTGCCGAATTTATTCACCACGGCCAATGCTAGGTCTGCCTACCCTGGCTCACTTGTACTTTCCAGCAAAATCCACGACATGGTTACCACTGCTGTTTCTGAGACAGGGTCTCACTCTGTCTCCCAGGCTGGAGTACAGTGGCACGATCTTGGCTCGCTGAAACCTCTGCCTCCCAGGCTCAAACGATCCTCCCACTTCAGCCTCCCAAATAGCTAGGAGGACTGTGCGCCACCATGCTCGGCTAACTTTTTGTACTTTTTGTAGAGGCAGGGTTTCACCGTGTTGCCTAGGCTAATCTCGAACTCCTGGGCTCCAGGGACCCGACTGCCTCAGCCTCTCCAAGTGCTGGGAATACAGGTGTGAGCCACCATGCCCAGCCTATTATTGTTATTTTATTTTGGCTACCATCAACTGAGAAGACAAAATCCATGATAAAGGCCCTGGCCGCCTCTTTCCCCTGGCTGTGTCTTCCCTGGGTAGCCTGTCACGCCTCCTCCTCTTGGGAACTGTGAGTAATAAACTATCTTTTCAATAGTGGTCGTCTCGTGCTATGTGGTCTCACTATACCTGAACAAAAACAAAATCCTGTGTATAAAACAGAAAAGAATATAGGAAGCAAGAGAAGAGAATAGAAGAAGGAAGAAAAAAAATGAAGGAAAGAAAAGAAGAGCCGGGTGCAGTGGCTCACGCCTGTAATCCTAGCACTTTGGGAGGCCGAGATGGGTGGATCACGAGGCCAGGGGTTCGAGACCAGCCTGGCCAACATGGTGAAACTCCGTCTCTACTAAAGATACAACAAATTAGCCGAGCGTGGTGGCAAACGCCTATAGTCTCAGCTACTCAGGAGGGTGAGAAAGGAGAATCGCTTGAACCTGAGAGACGGAGCTTGTAGTGAGCTGAGACCACGCCATTGCACTTCACGCTGGGCAACAGGGTAAGATTCTGTCTCAAAACAAACAAACAAAAAAAGAGGGAGATGGAGAAAGAAATAAGAGAGAAGCGAACAGGAGAAAAAAGAGTTTGAAAGGAGAAAGAAGACGGAATAAAATAGAGGGAGAAAGAGATGAGGAAAGGGACAATATGGAAAGCAAAGAAAGAAGGGAGAGGGGGAACGAGGTGGGGGAGAGGTAGAGGAAGAAGGGGAAGAGTGCAGGGAGGCTGCGCGTGAAAGGTACCTACGAAACCAACATTTGCCCCCAGTGCTTGCAGTGTTGACTTTTCAGTGAAATCCAGCGTCTGGGTTCATGTGCCCACAGCTGTCTCACTTGACCCTGGGCAACTGGAGAACAGACACCATGAGTCAATGACTCAGAGCAGGGCCTCAAAGAATATTTTTGACTGGCTCCATAGCGTGACTCAAGAAAAATAAAGCACGACTAAATACAAACGCAAAACTCCACAGAAAGGGAAGATTTTTCAGCTTCAGGGCAATGACTTCTCAGCTCTGTCCTTAGCAATTAGGCAGGAAGAGACCACAGTGGCTGAATTGGGCCTCCTTTTCCCTCAGCTTAGACTTGGAAGGAGTCGTCGGCTCAGGATGCATGCTGCCAGGAGTCAGGGCAGCTGCTGAAGGGATCTGTGGCTCAGTAACAGTCAGAGGTGGTAAAACCCAGTCCCTCAGAACGTGGGCCTGGAGTCTCAGTTCCACCACTTATGAGCTGTGTGACCTTGGGCAAGTCATACTTCTGAAATTATAATATTCTCCTGTCAAGGTTGATAGGCTAGCAGGCTTTGCTGAGCTTTAACAAGATTAAGTCTATAAAGAATTATGGGCCAG